GCCCGGCCCCCCAGCCCCCCGGCCGTGGTCCTCACCTCCTCCCTCCGGTTAAGGAGCCCTGGCTGGGGAGTCGGGTGCGAGGCCGGCTTCAAAGGGTGACCCCAGACAGCACGGCCCCAACCGGGCTCCCTGCTGCCCCCTGCTGACCTCTCAGATAAATGCAAACCTTTTGTAAACGAGTGGAACATCTTTTCGCTTCCTCTGCTCTGGCCAGCCTTACAGTTAAATTTTTTATGTATATCCTAGAGGCCCGGTGCATGAATTCAGCACGGGTGGGGTCCCTTGGCCTGGTCGGCGATTGGGGCCGATCGGGCCATCTCGCCCAGTCCCAATAGGGGCCGATTGGGGCCGGCCAGCCAGGGAGGGACCGCAGGAGGGCTCCAGGGCGTGTCCAGCCCGCTCGCCCAGTCCCCATCGGCCGGACCCCAGCAGCAAGCTAACCTACCGGACTGAGTGTCTGCCCCCTGGTGGTCAGTGCACGTCATGGCGACTGGTTAAGCAGTTGACCAAACGGTCGACCAGTCAGACACTTAGCATATTACGCTTTTGTTATATAGGATTATTTTTTTTCTTTTTAATTGTTTTATTGCTTAAAGTATTACAAGGAGTATTATAGGATTATTTTTTGATTGATTTCAGAGAAGGGGAGAGAAAGAGAGAGAAACATCAATGATGAGAGAGAATCATGGATTGACTGCCTTCTGCACGCCCCCTACCGGGGGGTGGGGGCGGGTCAAGCTTGCAACCCATCGGCTCTTACGGTTTTTGCTGCCACCCCAGGGGCCACAGCTTCGCCGCAGGGGCTTCTGGTGACTGGGGCCCTGTGCCGGGGCCCATGGGGAAGGCCAAGAGTCGCTTTCCAATACAACGAACGAACGTGCTGGTTCCGGCCTCTCTAAACCCCGTGACAAACCCCGGTCGGGGCCAGGGAGAGAGCTCACGTCACCTCACTGCTCGCATCCCCGTGGAAAGCAAGGAGCCAGCTTCGTTCCCCTGCAGGCGGCACCCACACAGGCTCCTGAACACGAAACCCGCACAACGCCTTTCCCTTTACTTCCAAGACCCTCCAGCGCGGGGTGGGGGGGCCCGGGGGGTTCCCTGCGCTTTCCAGGCCGATGTTCCTCCCATCACAGGGCGCGGCGGCGGCTCAGACAAGGTGTTAGTTACCCAGAACCTCTCAGCGGACACGGCCCGCGTCTGGGATACACGGGGGCGGCTCCTCAGTGGCTGCAGGTCTGATCACCGAGATCGGACAGGCCGCTCCCAGGACACGGCCACTCACGGATTGTGTGTGTGATCCCCCCGCCGCCCCCAGCCG